AGGTATAATAAATGATGTCCCGGGCAGTGATACTGTGAAATACACCATTCTCGCGGTATTTATTTTCTTGTAAAATCTTTTAATGCGTCCATTTCATTGTGGGCTAAATTTATATTTCAATCAAAATAACGATATAAAAATAAAATAAATATAAAAAAGTCAGACACGGCGATCTGTGAAAATGGATAAGATAACTACTGTCTTGTTATCTCACTCGTACTGCAACTAATTAGCATGTATAAGAATAGATGGTGAACGTGACACGAATATACAAAGACCCGACAGAAAGGCATAGATGCGCCATGTCACCATAGTGAATTGATTCTCAGAGAACTATTGAAAGAAAAAATTCAAAAGTCGGTGGACCCAATACTACGAACTTAAGATATGGAGATAATACATTTTCGATAGCGGAATTTGCAGGGAACCTACGAAGTAAGAGAAAGTAAGAGTAAAGAATAATCCATAAACTATACGAAAACTGAATACACGGTTGACTCACAGGAGAGGAGTTCGAGATGTAACTAAACCGCGAAAAACAATCTAACAAGTCATTTTACGCTACAATGACAGAAGATGCCAAATCCGAAAAAGCTAAAAAAAAAACGGCTCACACTTGCCAAATCAGCTATTATAGAGCCGTTCCTAAAAAAAGAAAAGGGTTCCACAAAGACCTGCATTAAATAGGAAGTTGATATGTGAGACAAGAATAAGATGAGATTGCTGGGACATGTGATAAAAAAGGATGGCATGGAAACCCTAGCATTGACGAAAATAGTAGGACAGAGAAGCAGAGAAAAACATGAATGCTTTGGTGATTAGTCTACAAGAGTGGTGGAATTAATTAATAATGTAAGAAACTGAAAATTATATCAAACCACGATCACTCACCTTTAATACCTAAAAGAAGTAGATATAATTGTGTAATAATAACTCGAGAATGTGAATTTACAATTAAAACTGTATTGAACAAGTGCCAACGCCTGTTTGCTTCTGGAATGTCTGTTATAGGGCGCACCATAATATCATTTATAGACAAATTATTTGCACTACTGATCTTTCATAATTTTAACACAAATGTTAAAGTGTTAAGGGTGTTGACCCCTCGGGGTCACACTTTGCCAAGTACCCTCATGGGATATCCCTTTGATACAATGTTCTAAAAATGTTCATCTTTTTTAGATTAGACATCATCTTTGATTTCTAGGATGGCAGTCGTTTCATCTCTGAAATAACGACTGTAAACCTTGAAAAATATTTGGTTGTTTTTCACGGAATATTTCCAACACCAGGTGCTGAAAGTTGACCCTCTTTCGAGACCTCCTCCATGTATCTCTCCAAAGATAGCACCACCGGGAAGTCTTTGCGTCAATATCGAGTGTTTTTCACATTCGTACAAATATTTTTTTATGTATTATGTACGGTGATGTACGTCACGATCACTCGGGACAACAATCCAATCAATTCGATCAGTACCTTTTCTTTCAAAATACTCGTGCATTACATATCGCAATTAGCATAAACCTCACGATTTAAAGACAATGTAAGCCACTAATATAAAGTGGTAAAATTAAGGATATGGTCGTATTGTTGTAACAACAGTCGTAGATTTGTTTCCCGTCGTTTTTTAATTATTACTGTATTAGTCAGATATACAGGTAGATATACCACGTTATTTTCAACGAAATTCACCAATTTACCATCTCCAACGGTAGAGTAACACTAGCATCATCTGGCAGTGTTTCCAAAGTTGAAAAACTAATAGTTATATATTTATATTTTGGGGTCAATAGATCCTATGACTGAGTGGTGTCACCGATAGGTATCAGTATTAGTAGACCATGACATTAGATACACGGAAACCGCTATTAGAAGACTTGGCACAACACTTTGTAATGGTTTAGTGGAAATGTTTGATGAAGAGAAACTTAAAGACCTTTTGATGTGTTATGTGGCAGTAGAGTAAAGAACCCATGTCTTTACAAAGGAGTTATGGAGAAGACTTGACAACCGGCTCATGATTAAAGTCTTTCACACGCAACAGGACTTACTATAATCAGAATTTAAGTACAGGGTAGGAATATACAGGTAAGCGAAGAAGTACTTTTGCTTTTACAACATAAAGCTACTGATGCAATGAAAAGGGCCATTCCAGTAATAAAGAAGATTTCATGCCATACCAATGTCGGTGGCCGATAACAGAAAGGATATATATGAGACATCGTAGACGACTGTAGTTGGAGAGTAACATCAATAGCAACTAGATAAATCAAAACCTGAACCATCTGTATCTGCCACCACTATTTCGTAGAGAAAATCCTGGTGATGTGCATTTTGAATTTAAACTAGGAAGTGAGTGAAACTTGATTTTCAGTTTATTAAAAGTGATTCGACATTCTTAATACAATACTTTCGAAGCGGGTCTCATTTATAGTTCGTTTGTTCTCAGACTAGTAATACATTAATTGTACAATACAATAATTGTATTACTAGTCTGAGGTTTGTTCAAATCCAGAGTACAGTCCCACACCAGGATAAGAACAACAATAGAACCACTTTCAAGTTAACACAAAACCAGTATTGGGGCGGACGATAGGATTCATTAAGCATTACATAAATCCCGAATGATACTCATTCCTTTATTAAAATCAAACCGTCCTACACGATATAAGGTAATATCTATTTGGGGCATCCCAGCCTACGGACGCCGCAACAACGCTGATCTTCTTTGATTTCGAAAATCCTTAGTAGGATCTTACTATACACATCAACCAAAGTAAATGTTATTATTTGGGATAACACTTAAACCACACTCAAGCAGGCAAACCGAGATTACGTTAATCGTGTTTGTACAACGTAACTGTGTCGTTCTGCGCTCGCAAATCGAGGCCTGAAAACAGTTCGGTTCGGTTGAAACGGCGATTGCTGACTAATGAAATCAACAACTACACTGCTAACAAGCGGACATTATAGCTTTGTATTACCTACGACATAGAACCATGAAAATACGGTGTTGACAGGTTTCTCAACATCAGATATCACCACAAATACTATGGTTTGTCGTCCATTTACATTTCGGCCATTTTCAAGCAATTCTGTGTTAACCCAAACACAGTCAATCAAATGGGCACTCATTGAATTTCACTTTTTTCAGTGATTGTAAATGCGGTATAAATAATAAACACTAAATTTATAAATATATCTATATATAATTTATAAATTTACGCATTCTAGAGATTCTGCTGCCCAAATGTAAAGACAGACACCAAAAACCAGTAAAACACAAATTTAGACCTGGAAATGGTATGTATTTTACTTCCGGGAAAACTCTACTACATCCTTTAGCCAGTCGATTATTAATATGGAAGGGAAGCAACTGAACTGAACCGATCACAACGCAACGCAATGAATATCATTAAATTAATGTGGCACACAAGAGGAAATAATTAGGCATTCACGAAAATAAATGTACAAAAGATGTGATATCAGGTGCTAGCAAAAGAGTGAGTGTACCCTGTCCCGCCGCTAGTAACCGTCATATATCATATTGACTAGACAATTCATGAAGGAACTTTCTACAAAAACAAAAATGATGTTGAGATAACCAGAAGTCATCTGTCATTTTCTTACAAGCTCATTTACCAGTTTATTTTTATTTTATTCAATACACAGATCAACAGGCTTACAAATCTGGACAAGTATACATTATGACCACCAAAAATTAGTATAAATGAATATGTAAAAACAAAACAAAATGTGCTAGTGAAAAAACTAAATTACTTAAAACTCTTCAGTGCAGAAAAATAACATTGTCCGATTTACTGGAATTAGTAAGGAAACACCTGAGCGGAGCGAAAACATAATCGACGTAGACGCTGATGACAATAAGTAATAACAATATTATGACTGCTTCCCGGTAAGCACTGTGCAATGTTTACAAGAGAGCAATATTTTTTGCGTTTTCATTTTGAAAGGTCAGCCGCAGGGCCCAGCATGTTCAGTATGAGGTTAGGTGTAAAGTTACATCTGTGGATTTGAAAAACAAAAAAAACAAAATGTCCTCGAACACTAGTTTTCATAACAAAAACTCATTGTTGCACTATTGCAAACATTATACAGTGCTCATCGACGAAACAATAATAATATTATTCCTTTACACTTACTGCAACTGACATTGTTGACTAGGTCGAGTGATCGCCTCGCTTCGCTCAGGTATCACCGGTGGTAATTCTAACTAAAACTCCTTGTTCCGTAAGAGCCCTAAAATGTATTACTTTGGAAATCCTAATACACAAAGCATTGAACTTATTCTCGTATTTTCCCATGTAACCTGTAAATAAGTTTCGTATCAATTAAACAGAAACACACTAAGGCGTATCAGAAAACTGGGAGGCATTAATTCTGGGCATGTGTAACTAGCCATCACTGGGTCTAACATGCAACCTGTAAATTAGTACAAAAATAAAGCTTTATTACATCCGCTGAGGTAATTCAGAAGAAAAAAAAGAAAATTAATTAAAATATCTAAGATTGAACATAAGTGGAGTAAGCGCAGTGGAAAGCAGTTGTGATGGAAGGGACGTCGTCGGTGATTCAAATTATTAAATACATAATAGAAGCAGATGGTGTTACTAGATAGGTAATTACATACATGAATGATATGCAGTATTTTTATTGTGTTTGGTTATCAGATTTTCATTTTGGAGAAATCAGCAATTGAATAGAAAACATCTCTGATGTCCGCAAATATGCTGTGATATGACCCGTAAATAAGCCCCGTCGCTATAGACGATAGCCAACAATAGATAAGTACGTGGTTTTGTGTATGTAAAACGCAACAGCGTTGAATCAGAAATGTTGAATGTTCGCTGTCCTTCAACGATGTATTACTCGGGTGTTAATAATTTGAAAAAAATACATTGTCTGTGTTACAGGTGAATTATTCCATTAAAGTAATGCCTAAACAATTTACCATATGACTAATTGTATGCTGTATAAACCTCACATTTGTGACTGGCCATTTCCTTTGCTGATCGGTCTTAGACCTTGCTGTTTCACTCTTGCCACCTCTAACTCTAACGAGTCAATTTCCAGTAAGTGCTGGGGTAAGTAACATCAATTAGTCAATGTCTATAAATACATTTTTGTAAGTACGCAGTATTTGCATAACATTTGTGTTCCGTATATTTTTTGTTCAGGGTTAGTGTAAAATTCATTTCGTATTGAATGAGTTGTATTGTAATTAACATGTGGGTTCCATGTCGTGTTATGTATATCGCCGATTTTACGTGTCGATCACAGTTGTTACACGATTTTGCCGGATTCGTTGCATTTTCTCATAACCGGGGCATGCGGCAATGACCAGACCAACCCCTTTCCCTTATCTAATTATTTTTTCCCGAAAAATAAAAAAAGCCTTTATTTTTGTAAATATATTGATATTGCTATATTTTGGCATCAGCAAGCTGCACGGTCAATGTTCAACTTCGATTAGTGCGTTCCTTTATGCACGCACATCAGGGCAGCCGTGAATGTTATTTTTCGTGGGTATGGGTGATTAACCATTGAATTGGTTTCAGTTGAGTTATCAACAGTTGCCACACCGAGGAAATTGCCTGTGATATGTTAGCAAACATTGCATTGTCTTAATAGCGTCTTGTAATTCCCCAATACGTGAAGTACATTGAGCCGTGAACCAAATTCAGAAGTTATGGCGTTTGCGAGTTATGCGTGTTAAATATTGATTGATTCTTCCGCTCATTGATTTGTTTTATCTATACAAGATAAATTTCTGTTCCACATTGTTGATGTGAATTGTGTTTTGATGCAATTAACTTATGGGGTACCTATTATATACAATGTACCATAAGCATTAAGTAATCAGATATATAAAATTAGGAACAATCAAACACAGTTGACGAGTAGATGTTTAGAATAAAGTTGAAAATTCGGGTCTATTCTGAGTTTTCGATACTTTTATCTCATGTATTGTGCTATGTCCAAGTAACGCCATATTATTAGCAACGAGTAAGTCCAGAACACTAATACAATTCAAGACAGCCGTGGTTCAAGTAATGTTGGAAGTTTGTTCGAACGCAGTTCGATCGAGAGAATGATTTTGGCTAACGAAAACAAATTCCGGCTCGGATATCTATTGCATTTTACTTGATATGCGAAGGCGTCCCAATAACTAATTGCAACTTTAATAACTGAGAATGGACTAAATCCCTTTGAGTAATTTACATAATAAACTTGTTTTTTTTTATTTCAAACATTCTGCACGACCGGAGTCGAAACAATTGTCCCCACTACATTGCGTCCTTCGTTCGGCCGAGGTTTACTAAGTGATACCAGCTATTGATCAATCAGCATACAAATGTACACATTGCTCTATCTACCCCAAATTCTTATTCTATTTCATCCATTTTTTTTACCTACATCACTTTATTTAACCAGATTAATTTTGTTACACAATGGCAATGCCCAACAACCCTTAGTGATCACGGTCACCCCATACCATGTAATAATTCTCTATTAAATCAATCTTTATTTTGGAGTAAAAGTGAAACGTTTGCAAAAAAAGTATTGATTTTATAATTTACTTGGCGTCGCTGCTTTGTTTGTCGTCTTGGTCTTATACAAGGGCAGCCATATTAATCACCTCCCGGTTCGTTATATGCCATACGGAGCACTTTTTTTATAGCTGGGCAGGGAACGCCATAATCCTTTTAAATCATCCGCCACCAAACTACTGTATATTATATGACTTTAACAATGAACATAATAAATATATTGTTAGTCGCGGTTAAAAAGTAACATGTTAGTACAGCTAGCATCACACTGTACACAGAGACAATATACTAGTAATCTTGGCGGACACCGGTCTAATAACAAACAATACCTCTACAAGTGCGACTTACCGTATACTTATTCACCATATGTTTCAACAAGACTCTCATTACCTCGATCTCAACATACAAATTTAATTTTCTAATTATATATTATATTTTCTATAACAAGATAAAAAGATAAATAAAACCTATTCACAGACATATGGGATGTCGACGCTTCACAGTGTCTGAATATAATTGAATACTCTCTGTAGACAAGTGGCTTATTTGATCGGCCGGCCACGTAGCCTTTTGATAGGATCATATCTTTCAGTGCGGTACTGTTATTCATGTTTTAGATGAATAATTATAACAATACCATGACATACACACAGGTCACGACATGTGTTGGGCAGAACAACACTATGGTTTCACTGTCCGAAGTGCACTGCTTCAAATTGGTTTATTGTTTCACTCTTGTCACTAGTTGTGATATTATCATGGCAAAATCTACAATATACGTCCTAATAAACAAATTAAATATGCATACAAGTACGTTTTCGTCGCATATCGCAGTGATCACGTCCTTTCATCGCAATGTATATTTTAATGTGACTCGGAACTAGTCCGAGTTTACTTCACAGCGAGACTTTAGTTATCTTACAAAATAAATGTTTCTGCATAGTCACAGTGAAGAATCCAAAATCCACTGGCCTTGCAAGTTGATTACGTCATAACATGTGCGCGTGACGTATTTGCCTGGATTGTAGAGGAACTACGATTGACAGGTAATACGGGTATATATCTATTTACAATCTCATTGATTTCAATTCCCCCCTCAGAGAACGAGACACGATGCTACAGATGACTGCAAGTTGTTCTCTTGTGTGGGTTTCTATATTGATTGTAGTTTTGAATTGTAAGGTGAGTCTATTTTGCACATTGTGATAATTAAATAAGTCTTTTATTATTATATTATTTCACTGGCACATGGATATCGCTGTATTGTTTCACATAATCATATGTGCTGATTCGTGTACATAATACTAGGCAATAGAAATCCACTTATTTCATGATAAAACTAAGTAGTTTGAACATATGTTAGATGCAACACTTTCCGTAATTTATATATATTTTTTTATATTTACGTAAACCGTATTGTTGAGGAGTCATATAATACCTTGCCGTACTGACTGATTATATGTTCTATATATCCACGACATGGAATATATTAAACATACTTATATTGGGAGTAAACTGATTTGAATGAGCGGCAGCCTGTTTGTGATAACAACTTCGAGACGGCACCGACCAGTTATTTAGAATATCTTAACTTGGAAACAGTTACTGTTCATTGAGATTTTGTACGGCACGGATGTCAATAAGATATACACTTAATTCTTGTGTACATTATATTTCACATAATACAAAGCGAAAGTTATTATAAGACTCACAACTTACAGTTGTTTGGTACAGACTGTGCAATATCGAGTAATGTGATTTGTTTTGTTATTCATTTTTATAGGTAGATGCATCGGAAGTCATACTTGATACTCATTTGGGTGGGCAGGTAGCAAAACGAGCCGCAGGTAGGGACGGTTATTTGTCGTGTTAATGTTGTTAGTTCTCCACCCACTCCTCCCGCTTTCTCGAGAAAACTGATGACACAAATACGTTTATTCTCCACACACAGTTGGTGGGGAGTATCTAATATAATGATGGCATACACACTGGGTTGCTGTAAACTAGTAATGTTGATTTGGTCATGGACAATAAATTATTCATATGTCGTATTTTATTGTTTTTTTCTTCGATATTTATAGAGACTGCAAACAAACGCAATATTAGAAACAAATCAATGTTCTCAAAATTGTCTTTAAATGGGTATGCCTCCTCGTCCACCGGGTATATTGATTTTCAATCAAACTTACGTGAATAAAACTCGTATGATGAAAACACGAGCTTCGTTCATTGTCGAAATACCAATGATATAGTCTGCTGTCGTTGGTCTATTACCCAATTACAGTAGTGATTACGTGTTCATGTAGTACGCCAATCAAAACCATTATCTGATTAAATATGACGAACAGACATGTAGTCTATCAAATAGATGTTCCAATCACTAATCGCCACGTGTGAAAGTCGCTCACACTCCACGAGAGACATACAAGAGGCGGAGCTGACATACACTCGTTTTCCAGTTACTGCAGTATGTTGTTGTAACTGTGTTGTAGCGATAAACACACATTTTTTCCCTTTCTTACGCATTTTGTGTGTGATCTTCTGAATTTTATTTGGTTTCGTCGAGCTGTATCAAGATAATCGTTGTTCATATCACAGTTGGCAGGCGTACACGTGATAATATAATACATATAACGTATCTACCGATATTTACTATATAGGGTGGTCATCCTGAATTTTAACCGAATATCAAAACACTCGTTCAGCAAGAATTCAAGATGACCGTGCTATATTGTGAATAACGACTTGTTTGTCATGCGTGCACAGGTTCATTTGTTCCCACAACACAATCATAGCGCCATCAGTATTTGGAATACGAAATGTTTCTGGTGCCCCTTCACTCAATACTCTCGTTATTCCAGTCTGAACCGTAGAATTATAGCCCCACCTACACACACAACTAGACATGGTTTGATTAAGACAATTAAAGCATTATCCACATTCACAGCAGGCCACCGACGTCAGGAACCCATATACGACCTATTTCTCATTGACAGTTTTCAGATATCACTATTCCGTTAAATACCTTATACGATGTCATACTATAATATGACGGAATGACATTCAATAGTTTGATAGAAACTCGTCATTAATATTGTAATATGACGTTATTGGGAGGATTAAATAATTGTACACTTTGGATAAATCGTACATTTATCGACGTGTACCACGACAAACTACAGGGAAATCAAAACTTTGAATGTCGTGGTAAGCCCAATTTAAATACCTTGATTGAGAAACTCAGCATATATACTACATGTACTGGTGTTTATAATGCAGACATCGCTGGTTGAGAAATATTGCAATAATGAAATAATGCCGGTATAATGATAACGCCACTGTTATTATTAGTCCCCGTTCGGACGCATTCCGAACACGGGGACTTATGTTTAGACCTCCATGCGTCCGTGCTTGTGCGCGTGCGTCCGTCCGGACCTGTTCCTTAGAAATGCCGCGACCAATCACAATGCAACTTCACATATACATCATACATGATATTATACATGTGCACATCAATTTGTTTCACGATCTATTATTATAAATCATGTCATATATATATATACAGATATATTGGTTTGACGATTCTATTAAAAATGACCGAATGGTGGCCATTTTTGTATTAAATAATCATCAAATATCAAGCGTTTCTGGCAATTAGGGATGGATTTTGTTCAAACTAGGTACATACATTAGACATTACGGGTTCCTAATGTACGTCATTTTATTTTTTAGATCGGGTTCTGAATGGTTGACTAGTGGCCATTTTGTTTTAATGAATGGGCTTCTAGAGCCATATCTCTGACATGCTTTGACTGACTATGTTCATATTTCATATATTCATTATACATATATTCATAATGGCTGATTTTGTTTTAATTGCTGCTGTTCCAGACGATCAGATACAAATGTCAATCATTTAAATGTTAAACAATCATCATATTCCTGACATGGTTATATTCCAGCTATATTACTATAAACAAAACTATATATCTTAAATTCAAACTAACGGGACTGTGCCATGCATGGCTTGTTTTTACTGCATTTATAATCTAATACACGACAAAACAACATAGCAAAATGCATCTTCTAAAATAAAATCCCCCTACAAACAATACTAATACTAGCCAGTTATAAGAAAACAAGAACAGCTTTAAATAACAGTTTCCCGATTTATATAAATAAGAATTTACCATATTGGTGTTATACCGAATTATGTGTGAAACCATAATAAATAAACCCCACAATACAAAAAATGTGACAAGTTATATTGTTAAAGGAAGGTGCATGATTCTGCCCACTGCGAGATCTCGCGTATTGCGAACGTTTTTTCATAAAAATGTAATGCTTTGATTTTGAGCTTGATTTTATATAAAAAAGGATACACGAATTTCGGCATTTAAAGTTGTTAATACTGGCAAAAACATGTTCTGTTTTATTTTAAATGCTTAATAAATGTTGCAAATGTAACAAAATATGCAGGTCTGTGTTTGATAACTCACTTTTTCCGGTACGAATAATTGCCGACTATGGCAGGCATCGTGGCGAGACTCGGCACTTTTCGCGTTTACGGCGGTGATGCAATGAACAAATTTCTCATATATTGTAGATGGGCACTGTACCGTACTATTGGCAATATTGCTCAAGATTGCGCAAGCCGTTTTCATACGTTTTTGCCATGACAAAGTTGCCTAATTAGTATGCATTTTTATTTATTCGGTGCTGAATGCACGCGAGAAAGTATGTGGTTAGTTGTTTATCCGAGGTCATATTGTGGTCTTCCGGTGTAGGTCGTGTCAGACCTCTTTAAATATGGCGATGTAAACATTAACTCGTGCTACTGTTTTGATCCTGACCATCATAATGTAGACGTTGCTGATACTTTCAGAATTAGTTATGTAGTTTAGCAATAGATTTGTAGTCGGTTTATAGTAGTTTTTATCCAATATAGTGATGCGTGTTTAGGCAATTTCGAGTGAAACGATTCGGCCCGACCGACTGTCAATATCCCCTGACGATGTCGACAAACATCATGTTATTACCACCGATGACACCGGTAAAAAAGGGGGTCAAAAGTCTAAAAATCTCCGTAGTTCGCCGAGTGGGAAGACTCCAGAGGAGAGGGGAAAATCAAGAAGAGTACTTTTAGACATTAACAACATTGTACAGCAACATCCATCAACAGGATGTGGAACAGCTAATCGCGGCAAGGTGAGTACATGTACACACTCGCATGTTGTTATTTTTTTATTCCTTTTCCCCCGGCTTATTTTCATTTTTTTAGTATGCAACTGCAATTTAAACAATATACTGGCGTTTTTAGTCGTATAAATGAAGAAATGAGATTCCTTAGATAAGCTATGTTCCCAAAACAAAATTGCAAAAATGAAAATTGGTTTCTTTCTGAAGTTATTCAATAAATATTCGGGAAACAAAAGTGACACCCAGGAATTTAAAAAAAATGAGTTCAGAATATTACAATGTGTTGTGGATATTTAATATACAACAATACCTGCTTGTTGATTGATGTGCATTCTACATTAAATTGCTAAATATTATTTTGTCCCAACCACTGTAAGCGAGTGGTAAGTCTTAGGAAAATTTAAATACATTTTATTATTCTATAATATCTTCTTTTTTTAATTTCATAGGGTTGGAGCCAAGAAGAAGAGAAGAGACTCATTGAGTATATTTCATACTTTCGACCAGATATGGGGTAGAGTTGGGGAAAGATTTGTCCGAACAGTTCTGGAAAGAAATGTCCATTTACATACATGAACATGTTGAAAACACACCAGAGCCACCATCTTGTATGTGTTTAACAGCAATGATGTGATGAAGTCGTTTGAAGACTTGAAATCATCAGAGTTACTGACAGCAGTTGAAGTACTGTTCAAGATGATTGTAAAACAATTGGATTAGGAATGCCCTGCAGATCTTGTTCAAAAATCTCTGGAAGCCATGGCACATTTGCAGGACAAACAGAAGCCTAACTTGGTTTATTGGTTTACTGCGACAACCGTATTTATCAAAGCATAGCGTAGGAAACAATTACAAACAAACACATTCCGATGTTGTTCTGTAAAGTTAGAACAGTCCAGTGTTAGTTATTCAAACACGTCAGTTACTAAGGACCGTTCCAAGGAACTGCCTTATCAATTACATTTCATGAAAAAAAACCATGATTTAAGCGAGGGAGAGGGGAAAAAGAGAAAAAAAAACATTTTCTGAAAAATGTTAGAATATTAAACATTATATTGTGTACTTTCTAAATCGTTAGTAAAAACATACTGTGCGCGATGCTTTTGATGCGTAATTTCGGTTTATTTTTATGTTAGTACTTCTATTCTTATACTAATTTTCATGTTTTTCTTCCATTTTTAGTTACATGTATTTGGTGGAGTAAACTTGTAGTTCAGTTTTGTTTTGTTTTACAGTCATAACATTACGTTATCATGTTTTTATAATTACATGTATTTAATGTGCTATTTGTGAATGAACTATTATTTCAGTTTTTGTTTCACAATCATAAAATTGCTTCCTAGTAGATTTTCGTGTCGAATAAAATTATTATTATTATTATATCAGGTTGAGTGACGGACTGAAAACAAAGGATTTAATTTGCATATTGATTTGTTGACTATCCAGCTTAATTATATCGTGTGTATTCTGACCGTTATGCGATCGCATTCGAAACACAAACAAACATTCTGGCTATTGTATTTAGATTTCAAGCTTTTCTCAGTGTTTTTAAATAATAGTTGCTTCTTTTACTGAGTTGACGTGGTTAATCACTAAAACATGTTTCTGCCATATCAGTGTTTGTTTATTCACCGCCGACTTTAACCACTAAACAACAAGCACACGTGAATCTCTCTGTTCACTAGAGCCAAAGCTCCGTACAGTTTGTTTATCGAAAGGCAAACATTCATCGCTAACTGGGTTATAACATGGTTTGTATTTTCATTGTTATAACAAATTAGATAAAGGTACACGCTCCATAGGCATAGAACAGGGAGGTAAAAGACATGCATAGAGTAAGGCATGTATATATCCTGCAAGAAAACAAATGGTTTCACGTATATTGCTCCGCCTTGTGTTTAGAGAACCGATTGTACTGTTGGATCTGTTTAACATAACAAAGAGACTTGAATAAATTAGTTGTTCTATACGCCATCTTGTTAGGATCCACTTTCGGTGAAACTTTTGTCACTTTCTAGGAGATAGTCCACCAATTGTTCACGTTATAAGAGTCCTCGTAGAATCGACACCTGTATATGTATAAGTCCATCAATTGTTCACGTTATAAGAGTCCTCGTAGATTCGACACCTGTATATGTATAAGTCCACCAATTGTTCACGTTATAAGAGTCCTCGTAGATTCGACACCTGTAAGATAGTCCACCAATTGTTCACGTTATAAGAGTCCTCGTAGATCCGACACCTGTAAGATAGTCCACCAATTGTTCACGTTATAAGAGTCCTCGTAGATTCGACACCTGTATATGTATACGTCCACCAATTGTTCACGTTATAAGAGTCCTCGTAGATCCGACACCTGTAAGATAGTCCACCAATTGTTCACGTTATAAGAGTCCTCGTAGATCCGACACCTGTAAGATAGTCCACCAATTGTTCACGTTATAAGAGTCCTCGTAGATTCGACACCTGTAAGATAGTCCACCAATTGTTCACGTTGTAAGAGTCCTCGTCGATTCGACACCTGTATATGTATAAGTCCACCAATTGTTCACGTTATACGAGTCCTCGTAGATTCGACACCTGTATATGTATAAGGCCACCAATTTTTCACGTTATAAGAGTCCTCGTAGATCAGACACCTGTAAGATAGTCCACCAATTGTTCACGTTATAAGAGTCCTCGTAGATTCGACACCTGTATATGTATAAGTCCACCAATTGTTCACGTTATAAGAGTTCTCGTAGATCCGACACCTGTAAGATAGTCCACCAATTGTTCACGTTATAAGAGTTCTCGTAGATCCGACACCTGTATATGTATAAAGTCTGATCGAAAAAGTATACACTTGGTTATCAGTTATCTGTTTATTCACAGCCAAAACACAGAAACGTTTTATGGCGTTTTTACGGAAACCAATTTTTGACTATCGCGACTATTGAAAATGTCATCTCATTTTACGCTAACGATGCACAAAAAACACCATTTTTCATCGCGAAATGAGCTAAAAAATGAGTCGTTCCAGCGAGCCGTTGACTTTGAATTCTGGCCATAAGACCATGGATAAATTCATGAAATTTAGTCCATAAAGTTCGACGGATTATATCTCCAGAACTATGAGGCTTAAACAAAATCCGAGACCCAGTTTCAAAGATCAGTATCTTATGAAGCAGCACTGAAAAAATCGAACTCATATAAACGACAAACAACGAGAAACACCCTATTTTTAGGAGGTTCACGGGAATGTCCGTAACTTAATTCCCTGACCAAATATTAACACATAAAATACACTCATATACATATACATTGCCATAGATGCATGCTTCATACCGGGAGGGAAAAGTTCTAATCACAAGTATTAGTCCTCTTTCCCTTCTCGCTACTTTGAGGAAGTTGAGCCGAATTCCGTTTACTACTCTTTTTACAACTCAGCGTGTCTCTGTACGTATATACAACTCAACCAAGAATATTTGGGACATTAATTTCTGGGAGAATAAGTGAGGGAATGAAGGTTTATATAGCGTTTTCTGAAATCTCTACTAAAATTGGATTTTATTTGTCAATAGGAGGGAACCAAGTCCTATGTAATTGTGTAGATTATAAAGTGTACACAGATAAAGTCAACTACTCCGCCGCCAGAAAAGTGTGTCATGATGCCAATGGAGTGCTAGCTTACATACCCGACAACGCCACTCACAAGGAAATCAAAGCTTACATCCAAAAAGTGGTCCAGCCTGACAAGAAAATGAAAGGATTCTGGATTGGATTAAATGACATCGATGCTTTGAATAAGTATGTCTGGGAGACCGGCGACACCCTCATCAATGGCTGTGATTTTACAAAGTGGGGAACCAATTCCCCCAATCATAAAGTCTCAAAAAAAAATGGTGCCGTCCAAGCGTGTATTCATATGAGGTGAGTCTGTGCTATATTGACGTAGATGACTCAGGGTAAGTAGCATTTTGGATACTCTGTAGACCTTGGTATTTGTTTTGTAACTACTGATCTTGGATCAGATTTAAATACATATTATAGAACCCGCGTGATCTGTAATATTACAATATCAAATCAATAACATTTACAATATTATAATAATATTAAACAATTATGAAACAATGAACTTATTTTCTAGAAATCTATCTGATGAGTGTAGGTGGATCGAGATTGGCCGTACTTATCCAATACAACAAGGCTTAGGCCCCTCAGTTGATAATCGCCCCAAATCTATCATCAAATGCAAGTTGAAAATTGTTTGGGAACACATTTTGAGTTATATTAAATCACACAATCTTGACATACTATTTGTTATAATGAATACAGACATAAGTATATCTCTCATGTACAACATGCAAGTTGTTATAAATATAATTACAATCCAATGACAATGACAATGTAAAAGAAGAATTATTTTAATGTCTGACATTTTCTCCAATGATGAATTAAAATTATTTAGAAATAACATCCCAAATGATACAGCCATATGAGAGATGTAGCGCCAATAAATACACACCTTGATTGGGTATCAACAAATACAGTGTTTATGGGCAAAACCAGACCATTTTAGATTAGTATGTGGATCAGTTAAGCGAGATACAAAAATTAACCAGTGATTTGTTTATGACTTTTCATGATTAATAAGGAGTTGTCCCAGAAGGCGGATATCTTCAGTATAATTAAAACGAGGAAGAATATATTAAGTTCTTCAGCCAAGGTGCTGACAATTCCACAGATATCATGTCTATGTAACCCTGAAGCCCTGCATCTCTCTCATACTTTAATGCTTCAGCAGACCATCCTAGTTTCTGCCAGCAAGAAATTGTGTATGTTGTCTTCCTTCAGCATAACAAAGGAATATAGCATTACATCTAACAACTTAGACACTCAGCAGGGCTTTCTGACCCAATGTATGACTCAAGTGACAGGATTTCTCAAGGCCAGAGAGGTCCATGAGATGACGTTTGACATACCCTTGGCTAATAGGCAGAGTCGAGAGAGCTCATTACATTTAGTGCTAAGTGAGGCTAATACTAGAAGAAATAAGTTGACTTGAATCGTTTAAGCTCGAACTGTTAACGGCAGTTTTCGATGATTTCGCCGGAAAGAAATTACGGTTGGGTCTACACGTGATTGATGTGTATACTTGCCAAATCAATTAAACAACTGTGGAAAGTTGTGCACACTGTCAAATTAATTTACTGTCATACAATTTTGACTTACCTGAAATCCTAGTTGTCTGAATAGATCTATATCCATAAGGTTGCAGCGATGTATTATAAATATCTGAACTGTCTGCATGTTGGACTGGTAGGTATACAACACCGCTGACTGCCACTTTACCTGGTTAACACTTGAGAGGTGGACGCTGTACTTGCAGTACTTGCCACTGTGAACACGGATATTTAAATCACCACACGACTGAACTCCTGATTTCGAGCTTCGTGGTATATGAAGATTAGACTCTCCGATGTGATAATTATTGTAAACTGCGCCTCAGTAAATAATTGTTACACTGAGAATATAAATCTTCATATACACCTCAGTTACAGTTATTATAATAGTTAATTAATTTAATAACTTTCGCACTATAATTACTTACATTTTATTTATTATACCAAAGCTACTATGCCAATAGTGTAATGCTATATTTATCTCAGTGCATTTGTTTATTATTATAGAATAGCTGACGGTTATAAATGGGATGATGACTACTGTCACGCCAGAAAGCCATTTATATGCATGTTTTATGGTAAGTTATGAAATATGATCGTATGTCTTCTTCTCATACACTGCATGTGTTAGATGTAGTTGTTCTCATTGTTGTAGAAAACGACTCTCAGAGGAATTATAACATTGCATGCGTCAAACGTCATTTTTGCTAAAACGTGTCGAGCTCAAAAAAAAATAATAACTTGAATTCAAAAATTGAATACAAACCGACCTATACTTGGTGACATTTACTCGAGACTGAATACTGCAAAAAATAAGTTCTATTGACTTTCATTTCATTTCATTTTTTCTTTCAGTTTGTCCCGACAACCCTAACGAGTGCACATCATGTATGGGAATGTAATCTGCAGTTTCTGCGAATCTTTTCTTTATTGTGGTGTTATATGAACGCTAAAAGCGTTAGTTTAAATGCATTAAGCTTTTGATCAGTTAAAGCAGTAAAACATTGCCACTATGCCTATAATCTTAGTGGAAGTGCACTGTCTCTATTTAAGGGAACAGTACTCAATGCACCAAGCACGTAACTCAATTCATGCCCATCCTCCATCATTTTGATGACGTAACCCTAAATTATGCTCTATATAAAATAACTAGTACATGAACAACTATATTTCTTAGATTTAAAGCGCAATTAAAGATGCATACAAGTATTTATTTATTGAGTCGAGATGTATACCATCTCCACGAGACCTAACAAATAAACTGATTTTTAAAGGGTATCTCTAATCATAAGTATGGTTTCCATCTTTCACTAGCTTGAGTGTCATTACACATGTTTTCTTCATATCATTGATTGATTATCTCTTCTTTCATTAAAAACGCAACAAAAGAATATGATCCAATTAATTAATTGTCATGTTCGTTAGCTATTTTCACCTGCTTAACAATATTTCACAACCTAATATTTTACTGTGCAATTATTTACGAGTTCAACATTAGCTACACATCTGGTGTCGGGCTTGTGATGCTTAAAAACACAAACTGACTATATATTAACTTACTCAAGTTTTACAATTGAACAACTACTAATCTTATTATGAGTAATCTAAATTTGGATGATGACCTCCCGGAGTCGTCCTTGTTATGTTGAAAATATGATGAGTCATTCTTATGTAATCGGTTAATGCATATTTGAGGGTTATGTTAGAGACTTTTAAATGTATCACCATATGTATGCTTTTGCTGAGTAGTTGAATAAACAGAGAAGCTGGCGACGGCGTGCTTGGGGCTTCGGCTTCCGGCTCTGCTCGGAGCGAGCATTATACTAAACCTATCGTGTTGCGCGTATTTATTGGAAGCGAGCTGTTATCGCCGTATGGAGAACCATCTGATCCCGTGTGATCATGGTGACAAAACAAATGAAATTTAAATCATTACGCTGTGTACACTTCCACATTTAGTATCACAAATTACAATCCCGCTTGCTAAAATTATACATATTCTACCAATCTGATCTTGGAATATACAAGATACAACTAGAATTTTATTTTAATCGAAGGCAAATCATAATTTCTTGTGTGATATATGGGATTGCACGACTTACAATTAAGTGTAATCAACTTTGTGCGCGTAGCCCCCACATGGCACCTTTGTTGAACGTCGCCGTCGTGATATCACAATGTGCTTTTTTCAAGTTAAAATATTATATGTCCGTCACGTTAACTTTAAAGTCAAGAATGTCTTACACATTTAACGACTGATTTGTATAGACATATTTATTATTTCTTTGGCCATACATTTTTTTAAACCACAGTTAGATTAGAATGAAATATGAATTGTTCATAGTAGTCATTAAAAAAGCAAAACTAAAAAGTATGTAGAAATATTCATTCTTTTTATTTCATTTTACTTCAAAAATGTTTACTCAACCCATTTTCGGAGAAACAAGCAGATTTGTTTGCAGAACTATTTTGTGGTTGGTGACTAAAGTGGCATATAATGTACGTAATTAACTTTCATCGTTGAAATTAAATGTCTACATGCAATGTGACACACGACATATTATTGCAAGGATAATCACCTAAATTTGGTTGGTTGTCTAAATTGCACTCAATGTGGCCATGAATAAAATATCCCCACATAATTAAAAATATAGCATTAGCTCACGAAGTTGTTGAAATATGATAAACCGTCAACATTTTCAGTGTTTTTTTTCATCAAAATGGCAACAACGAAAAATAGATGACCGTTAAAAGCGAACACGCAAAAAACTATTTTTTTAAAAACTAAATACCCCAGACCATTCGTCCCGGTGTTATCGCTATCGCCACACGAGACTCCAGCTTGTCTTCTATACAATTTTCCTTCCGCCCACTTAATTTTAATATTCATATGACCTTTGCACTGACATCGATAGCCAATCGCATTCGACCGCGGACGTCACTCTAAATAAACAACTGAATAAATTAATATACCATATTTGGAAGATAGCGGGTAAATTCAAAGTTGTTGGTGTGTTCCTTCGGGTTCCGAAGTCGCACGAAACGAGTTCATGTTCCGTTATCTTTCGCAAGTAAAACAGGTCGATATGTATTAAACATGGCATTTGTTTTCTTGTTTTAACCCCCTTATTACGCAAGCTTCCGTCGAAGTGGTGTTTTTTTCGACGATT